TTATCGAGATCATGGGACAAGGATGGAGAATATACTTGATGATCAAGGCGAGTCTCATCATAAGGCACTCCTAATCGTTCTTGAATTGTTCGAAGTCTTTGTTCCTGCTAGCATTTCAAACTTTGCAACTTAGGTCAAGAAGTACTAGAAGTCAAAGAAGATTAGAAAACTACTTCAGCAGATTCAACAATCTTCATCTTTATACACTAACTACCCAAGAAACAGTTCCCCGCAAGGGGCTAACAAAAGCTATCATAAAAAAAATCACGATCTACATCTATTATTACAATACACATAAGATTAGGCTGACCAACAGACATAAACATAAAAACTAATTTCTCTTTAATGTGATAAACTATTAAAAATTTGCATGCAAACTGAAATGCAAGAAGTCTCATTAATCAATCAAATTTTCAAAGTACCTGAATAGGACTTAAAGTGTAGTCAAGAAATTTTCCGCTTCTAGATCGTTTATTGCCGGAGCGTCTAAACATTCCTCCTATCCATGTTCGTGGTCCAACCATAGCATTAGCTACAATCAACAAAATCTGAGTAGTGAAATAATAATTTTTTGCTATCAGACACTGGATACTGATGAAAAGGACCAACAGAACTTACTTAACAAACCAGCACATCCCGATGAAAATAAAGAGACAGATAAAAGAAGCAGAACAAAAAATAAAACACTAACTGAATTTAAAATGAGTCAAAACCTTCTTATGATTGTCGCAAGCACATTATTACCAACCAAAAAACACCAGTCAAGCTCAACAAATTCCGCTATATCAGTTAAATATAAGGAATAATATAAATTTGATAAATATTTAGACAATTATTTAAGAAGTATCATACATTTGATAAATATTTATGCAACCCATAATCGAATAATCAGCTAAAGGAAGATTTGGAAAACTCAGGCATCATTACATCTTTTTTTTTCCTCCAGAGTAAGCTATTGTAGCTTGGCTTTTTAGGCCACAAATAAATTCTTGATCATTTGTTCACACTTACGTCAACATGGACGTTGTTCGATAATATAGGTATCAACCATTTGCTTATCGTTTCTTTCTTATCCGAATGCGTCAAATTCTTTGAGAAAAGTTGGCTCAGGTTTTAGTACGGATTATTTTTCATTTGAGTATGGAGGGGGGCTTCATGAACGGATTAATGAGCAAATTTAAAATAACCTTCTTATAGTCAAAGCCTCCAACACCAGCACCCAAATACTGTATTCCTCTCAGTTATAACCAATTGGCTTCAAGTTCAAGCTTTGACACTTTAATACGAGAAAGGTAGCAGGGAAAACATACAAGGCTTCAATCTATTTTTGCTTGTTTTTCAAGGGTCAATAACTTAGGATAAATACAATTTTAACAATAAATGGTCTGCAACAAGGATAAAAATATGGAAAGCAAGGCAACACATAACAGCAAGGAAAAAGGTTGCGCTCATCGCATATATTGAGAACTTCACATTTGAACTCAAAGGCAGTGGAATTGGTAAGTGTGTGCACACACCAATGGAGGAAGAGATAAAAATCAAACTTGGGTAAGCAATGTCATAAACATTATTAATAGATTTTACTCACCAAAGCACTGAGCTAACTGTGATATTAAGTGAGCAGAATTATACGACCAAACCGAATCTTCATTGTGCTTTTTTCCATCCCAGTATAGTTCATCTTCATCAACCTGGATATGTGGATATCCATAAGAATGAAAGAGATGCCAAATTATGTTTACTGCACTTAATTAAATATGAACTGCTAAACATGTCACACTTATTTCTTTCTTCCATCTCAATAGGAGGAAGGATATGAGACTCATAGATGAATGAATGGATCACAACGAGGCATAGAAGAAGGATATGAGAGAAACTGAAAAGCATTGATTTCATACAAAAAGTTACTTCGATCATAGGGATGATGGTAAATGGATCCCTAAAGAAAACTGATAAAGTTAGTTATATGTGGTTTATTAAAATGGAATTACTGGATAACTATTAGTCATAGACAGTTATTCTCTCTAATTTTTACTTGACAAAATTGAAATTCAAACTGGAAATAACCAGAACTAGCATAATCCAAAGCCAAGGCTAAGAAAATAAATTTTATGTTACAAGAAAGAAACTCTATCATGGAAAATATCAGAGAGCGGTATACTTATAGCCAAAACTAATATCGTTAAATGTTATTTACATAACAATATGAAGTCTCAAGCGAGTAAAATAACTAGAAATTAATACAATAATTTATAACTCCAGAGAAACACAAACATTTTCAAGAAAATCTCTAGACTTCGATTGCAGCACAGAATGTCAATGGACAAAATAATATCAAGACTTTTAGACTGCATTGCCTGGTGCAACAATGTAGGTGAATGAAAAATCACTTGATTCTACAGCATGATTTATTCGTTTGTTGTTCTACAAACTCAGATCGGTCCTATAAGGTTCATGACTCAATCTCACACCTTGAGAATTCTAAAAATTTCATTAATTAAATTTAAAAATTATATTAATAAAAAGATGAAATGACTTCTGGGGAAGCTGAATTCTAATAGGAAAACCATAATGTATTTTCAAAAGAGAAGCTAGCGCCTCCGTTTTTGGTGCTATAAAATGAAAGAGTGAAGGTCAGAGAGAAAAATCAGCAGCTTACTCGTCGATTAGAGGCACAAGAAGGAATACACTTTCTACGCCTTAATCTCATCAGAGACAAAAATATGAGAGATCAGAATCTCCTTCTCTTTCTAAGCAAAAAGCAAAGCAAAAGCGAATTGCTGATACAGTAATCCAATGATTGCAATAACCCATGCTTGGTTCCTCTAATTCAACCCCTAATCATTTGGAAACACTCCAATTTTTCCTATTTCTCCACCAAATTATTATCTTAAAATTAAAGCCGTATAACCTCATGTACCAGAAAGAGGTTGTCTAGGAATCCCAATAGGAAAAAAACTGAACTTTTGGGGGTGACATGTAAAGGGAAGATTCATAAGCGCAATCAATGGGCAATCTGCTGCATTAACATAATTGTGGACAGAGAAATATTGGGTTTTCATTATGAAGGAGGTGGACAAGGTTTTTCAAAAAGGAAAGAAACAGGCAGGAATATTTGTATTCTCTTTGCACGACTCATCAGATAAAATCACACGCTCAAGAAACATATATACAAAGATACAGCTATAGCAAGTATATACACACGCATATAAACACGTATCTGTACCTAAATCTACACTTGCAGCAAACTAGAGGGTGCGATAAAGATGGGAAAATGCACCCTCTTAACGCATACGAGAATTGGAATTCTTCTTCCTGTTGTTGAAAGGAGAAAGGTGGGCCCAAGTTGGAGGAAGTGGTGGGACCAGAGCACGAGCAAGAGATGAAAAAATGGGAATATGAAAACGAAGAAGATGATGAATGAGAATGACGAGATGAATGATAGAGACCCGTGGCTTTCTGCAACCAGCCATGTCGCAAAATGCCCGCCTATTCCGTAGTATGTAGTTCTATATATGATGTGAATTTGTATGTAACCATATAATTTGATGCATTATATTGATTGCGCAATGCTGTATAAAATATATAAATTTTTATTTATAAAATAGATATTTAATTTAAAAAAAAATTCTAATCACTTTTAATTTTATTGTACTATAAGAATTAGTACTCGATATTATGTAAAATTGTAGTTGAGGCTCGAAGATTAAGTGTATGTTAGGTATGGCTTTTTGTAAGTTATAAGTTGTGGTTTAGATAGAATGCGTAAATAAAAGGTGAATAAAAGGTGCACATACGGAATGAGTGGATAAAAATAATATTTTTCGAGTTTTATTAAATTAAAGAAAACCTTTTTAAAATTGAATTATTTCACCAGAATGTAAATCCGGATGTGTAAGTACTAAAACCCTTTAAAATTTTTTAAACCTTTTTAAAGTTTTCAAAGAGTTTTGGCTTCCAAAATACATCCCAAAAGTTAGCGCCTTAAATGTTTTCGTGCAACTTACATCATATTATGAGAATAACTCTAATTATTTGCATTAATTCATGAAAATTGTGTATTAAATTAGAGATTCAAATAACTAGCATAGACATTACTTGTTATTAATAATTATTATAATTGATTGGAATGGAATGAATTCAACAATACTTTCATTTTTAATCTCAAATAACCAGACATTGCATGTCTTTCTTGGTTTCTTGAGAATGCAAGCATTCTTGATCCACTGGATGTAGGGATGGCAAAATGACTTGTCGACTTGGACCGCCCGTGGCTCGACTAGAAAAAGACTGAGTTGAGCCGGTTTGAGGTTCGGAACCACCGAGCCCCATTTTGGGGCAAAGGCTCGAGCTCGAGCTAGCCAGTGTCACGTGCTGTTTTCTGTCGGGATGAGCTGAGCTCGTTTAAAAAAAAAATTGAAAACAACAGTTGTAGTCCATAGGAAGGAAAAAAAATAAAATACAATGAAACAAGCCTGCACATTACAGGCAGCTAAGTGCTGTAGTGCAAGCAGCTTTGACAAGAAAAAAAAATCGAGTTGGCTCGGCTCAGCCCGCTAAGGCTCTAGCCAAATGCTCAAGTCGAGCCTAAATTTTTTGGCCAAGCTTTTACTCGGCTCAGCTCGGGCCAAAAAAAGTTCGAACATTTTTTGCTCAAATCGAGTCCGAACTTTGAGTTTCGGCTCGTTGACATAGCTAACTGGAGGTGAGGGGCAACTAGAGGTCCAAATAGTGTAAAAAATTGTTGGTCTTGATCTAATAGATCTGCTCGTCAGCAAACCTATGGACAAGTTTCATGGCACATGTATAAAAACCCATTACCTTATTATAGCATGAGCGCATGACGCAAATTTCATCTTTAAAGAGATGATGATATCTTTGACGAGGAAAACTTGCAACACTTTGAAAACACCGACTAAAATTAGAACTTAAAACTCTTTGATTTCACATAGGAAATCTGTAAGAAAAAAAACACTAAGAATCTTAGACAAAATGAAATACTACGGAACTGGATAGGACTTGTTATGACACATGCATTTGTAGGCCATTGGACATGTCTCGGCTTCTTCAAGCGATGAGCAGACAAAGCTAACCATAACCAATCGACACGGTGTGCACGATCCACATGCATGCGAGCAATCTGGTAATCTCGACCCTGCTATCTGGAGCGTATCAGCTTTTGTATGCATCAATGGCGCCCTTTTGTGATCCACGTACAATTCAGGTTTCACACTTGCTTCCTTCTTGCTAGACCCATTATCTGTCAAACATATATAATGTTAGTTCCGAAAACACGGCCATCACTAATTGATACTTGTGAGCCGTTACTAAAATCTCACCGTTAACTAATGACTTTTGCATTGGTAAAAGTGAAGTGCTTGTTTGTAAGAGAAATGCTATTCATCCCCACTGGGGATACATCCCTAATCTATGTGGTATTAAATAATAAGTGAAATTAAATAAGTCATCTAATTTCACCTATCATTTAACCAATCATTTACATCCATATAGACTGGGGATGCATCTTCACTGGAGATGAATAACATTTTTCTGTTTGTAAAAACTTAAAATTTTGATGTCAAACTCAATAATTAATTCTAATCATACATTTCATAGCATGAACATATCTACAGTGGGGCAGTGGGGTCCGCTGCCCCCACAATAAATTTGAAATCCAAAATTTTGCAATACATTTTTCATGATTTCACACAAGATTTTCGATAAAAAAGAATTCCTTATAATTTTCAATTTTGCCGTCACAATGAAAATTTTGTAAAATTTGTCCCCACAACTCTAGTCTTCTAGCTCCGCTCCCATTTCATGGGATCCACAACTCTAATAAACTTTTATCAAAATATACTAAAATTTTTATTAGAAGCTTCGTCAAACAACCTCGAAATATCTTGTACTAATCAAGAACAAGAAAAAGAAAGAACTTTACGAGAGTGTAGCTTGCCAATGTGCCTTGCATGCATGACTAATGGAAGGAGGAGAAGTACGAAGCAAACAACAGAACCTTTCATGATTTTTCTTCTTCTTAATTACGTAGTTGAGCTCGTTCAACCCAAAACTCAAAACTTGTTGAAGACGAATTGCATATAGAACTAATAATATATATAAAGGCCCGAATAGAGAAGATAAAAATGTATTGAAGCAAGTCACAGGCAAAAGTGTGAGATGTGAAAGGTCACATGAAAAGGAGAGATGTCACAGGGTTTGAACCTTATGAGCGATGGTGATGAACTTCGCATTCACACTTTTAGGAAGAAAGGTTGTAATGAACAAAGTTACTGATATCAACAGCGCCTATATTTTTACGTGAGTGTAATTGAATTGGGAGGTCCAGCAATTGCAGTATTAAATGCAGAGAAAATTTCTCAAGTTCAAAATTGCAAAAGAGTAGTAAATTTGTTACTTTCTAATGTGACTCTCATTAATGTTGTCAAGATATTTCATGGCATGTGACCTTTTTCAATTTATTCATCATTTTGTATTTAATATTGATGGTATAGCAATATTCTTTGTGTAGTACTGAGAACTAGCTAGTCCTACTAGTAATATTTGACAAGTTGGATTGGAAATTTGGAATATAAACTCGACTCCACAAGATTAAGAAAGAGTACTACACAAAAATTATCAATTAACGAGCAGGGACGGATCCATGAAAGAATTACAGGTCGGACTAATACGTAAAAAAAAAATAAAAAAATTACACATGAATAGTTGGGGGAGGGACCCCCCTCCATCCGTCCTTGTTAAAAAAATTCAATGCAAAAATAATAAAATAAAGAAGGAATTGTTATTGAAATATAAGAGATAGGATTAGGAGGAATAAGATTGTGATGTATTTTTATGATACAGCGTTTGTGACGTACACTTTTCTTAATTTTGATTAATATTAAAAAATTTACTTATTTAGTTACTAGTAAAAATTACTCTTTTTTTTTTTTAATTAAAAGTAAGCTTAAAAAGTAAAGTTACTTCAAGTTGGCATAACTTACTTTTCTTACTTTTAAGTAAAAAATTAAAAGAAACTCTTACGTACTTATTTATTAAATGTGATGCATCAAAAAATTATTATTTATAAAATTAATTAATTTATTTAAAAGTAAATTTAAGTATTGTTTGTGGGGAATTGAGACCAAACAATAGGCGTGATGATTGAGTATGATTTTTCGAGTGCAATGAAAGCATGTAGAGTCATGACCTTTGGATGGGTGTGTTCCAAATCACCAGATTATTTTCCAACATGAAGAGTGTGATCTAATGACCCAAATGAATTTGCACAAAAAAAAAAAAATAAATAAATAAAATTGTAAAGACACATTGAAATCTATAAATAGATCCTTTTAATTCCATTTTTTTTTTTACTGTAAATCAAATCCAAAATAACTGAATCTTAAATTACAATTCTTGCCTAAAATTGTGTACGGTCAAGTTTCGGTTCGCCCACCAAAATTATTGTGTCACATTAATTTTATAAAGAATATTTTATTTTGAAAGATAGACGTCCATAAAATCTAAAAGTCCATTTGATTGCAAGGATGAAAAATGGGTGGAAAGAAAATGAATTTCAGGGAAAGTAATTGCTTAGAAATTGTTTTCCAGTGAATTGTTAATAAAGTGTGTTTGATTGGTATAATTTTTCACCCGAAAATTTTTAAAATTTTGGATTTTTTTTGTTAACGTTTGACTTTATTTTAAAGTGAATATTTTTTTTAACAATTGGTTATGAAATTCGTTAACATTGCAAAAAAGTAAAAAAAAAAAATTTCTTTGCTCGAAAACTATTTTTTTAATCGAAATTTAGTATTCGTTTGACTTCGTTTTACATGGACATTGTCCATTAAAGTGAATTTTTTTTTTCATAATATAAGTTTACCAACTACTACTTGATTGATTAGTAATAAAAACGTTAGTTTAAAGTAACATCGGACATTGATGCATGCTGTCCTATGTCAAAAGCATGCGAAGCCTATTTGGTAAATTAGTATTTTGAACAATGGTAGTGTTGATTATTTTACGTTAGTATCAGATATTAAGCATTCTAGATAATTTACAGAAGATCTTTTGGCGTTGTTAATGTTGACTTTTCTCTCCTGTCTCAGTTGTCCATTAGAAGCCAGCCAGTGATTTCCATGCATTGGTTTTCACAGTGAACGTCGTGCATATTGAAGAATAAATGACTTCGAAAAGGATGAATAATTCACCAAATTGATTGCAAACATTATACAGTCTCACAGTTTTATTTTATAACATTTATATATATGGATATAAATAAAAATAAAAACGCTACTTAATATAAGAAGATATCAATTTGTCCCCAGCTTGTTCTCAAACGATATTTAGACATCGAAGAGATCAATAAACATAGCATTAATATGAGGTTTCAGAACTTTTTCTGGTTGTGTGTATCCGTCTTCGTTGCCTTTATAAGTGACGTCTATGTTACGTTCGAGGTTGAGAATTCGCATTAAAATTTCTCGAGAAGAGGAAGTTGGTCGGAGGAACTCTTCATTAATATCCTTCCATGCATTTGTAACCATTTTAGAAAATTTATTGACAGCAACTTCTTTAGTCACACCATTCTCAATCATGTATGATTCGATGCCGGTAGCAATTTGGCCCCTTTCCTTCTCAACCTTCATTAAGATATAATTTAGAAAAAGCAATTAGATATGAGACATAAACTTGCTTGTAGAATTGATGTTGCTGTATAAACAATTTTTATTTCATACCTCATAGGTGGCAATGTCATCAATAAGTCGACATATTATGAGGCCGGCCACAAGAATTTTAGGTTTATTGCTTATCCGTTCAAAGTCTTCCTTGGTGACACACTTGATCCCTAACAAGGATGTATGTGTGTGATAACAATAAGTACACGTGATCAAGGCATTGCTCAGGTACTCAGAAAATGGTGGCAAGTATCCTTCAATGAACCACTTGGCTTCCACATAGTAAGCCCTCACAAGTTCTTTCAGCTAAAACAAATTAATAGACGTTTCTATGAGTTAATAATTGCAATTAATTATATAAGATAATAAGATGCAAAAAGAAAGGAATAAAATAGACATGAATTACTGTGAAATTAGTACTTACTGCTTCTTTTGCATAATAGATTGCGTAAGATCTTTCTTCCTTTGAAATTGCTTCATCAAACTCCTCGTAAAGATTCAAAAGAGCACTATAGAATGGTTTGATATACTCTGGTAACCGTTCAATTTCGCTGATATCCCACCTGAAAAAAAAAAAAAGACATTATGTTGATTACAGTCGTGAATAAACAATTGCACTATGAAACTATTTTGTATTCCTATTGTGAGTACTATTGAAAGAAAGAAATATGAACCTTTGAATGGCCTCCGTAAAAATTTCAAGTTCTTCAACTGTACCATAAGCATCATATGTATCGTCTATTATTGATGTCATTGCAATGGTTTTGGTGAGCATGATTCGAGCAGTTGAATATTGAGGTTCATGATAAACTCCCACAGCCCAAAAAAAGGATTCCACCACTCGGTCTCTAGCATAAGGAAGCTTGGAAACAAGGTCCAACTCCTTCCACCACCTGCAATATATATAAGAATTTTTTTTTCAATTGGTGTTCATGCACAAACATAGAGCAATCAGTGCAATTTTGAGAACATTACCTTGAGACTTCGTAGAGATCTTGTTTATGTAACATTTGCAGTGAATTATAGTCTAATTTGGCAAACCTCAACAGCAATTCATTCTTGGACTCATCTTCTTCGTAGATGGAGATAAAATTATGTGCCTCAATTCTTGGGTTCCCAAAATGGATGGGTTGCATGAGGGCATGAGCTACTTGTTTCTCGATGGTAGAACTTAGATGTGGCGCCATGGATTTCAGGTTGTCTGTTGTGAAAGCAATGGCATTTTCTAGTATATCTTCTCCATGCACTCTTAAGTAAGCTGCTTCATATAAACTCAGCAAGCCTCTTGTATCACTCTCAATATTTTCTTTGAATTTTCCATTCTCGTCTATGAATTTCTTAAAGACGTCGCAAGAAATACGGAAGCCATGTTGCCTCAATAAACGAAAATGAAGAGCAACAGTGTATAAGTCATACGCTTCATCTGCAAAATTTGAGTTAAGTTTGAAGAAGCGTTCTAGTAGTTCGTCAATCTCTTCTTCAAAATGATATGATACGCCCAAGCGCTCCAGTGTATCAATCAAATTCATAGTCTCCACCGTGTCTTTTCCTTGAACTGTCAGCATGCTTCTCACTTCATTCTTTAACCCCTCAATCTCCTTGGCATATTTTTCTGCTAACTGTTCGGTTATAAGAACAACATATAATGAGTATCCAAGCATCAAATTTTACAATGATCGTTGTATATGATCGTACCAGGCAGTAATTTCCAATTCAATTTTCCCAAAGAATCTTCTATATACACAACAAAATTATATTTTAAACAAAACAATCTTTTTCAGAACCTTTTCAAACAGTTTATGCTGAAAAATGTTACTAGCAGATTTGAATCTAGACTTTTTATTACAGAGACGTGCACCAAAAAAATGTACATATCTAGGGCCCATAAAAAAAAAAAGGAAGGGATCAACACCTTGGTATCAAAAGAAAATTTGATAAATTGTTCACCCCATAAGCTGGGAGAGAAGTTTGCGACTGGACGAACAATCTCTTTTTCACAGTTTGTGGCATTATCAACTAGAGCAGGTGCCATTCTAGTATATAGAATAATAAGAAGTTATTGTGGTATGTAGCAGAAGAACAATTTATATTACACCTATAAACTCTTGCTGATGATGGACACTAGAGATCTACTTCTATTTATAGTTGAAATGAATGGCAACTATTATACTCCATTCAATAGCAGGTGGCTATTCGACTATTGTCATAGAGTCCAAACTGACGACTATTCTCTTTCACCAGTTCCATATGGCTGTTTGAAAACTTGTAAGTGAACGATGTCGTGATCGAGTAATATAGCAGTGTGTAAAGTGTCGAACCCACGAGAACTACGTGTTTTATTGAGT